TATGGAAAAAAAATGAGAATGGTTAGGTAAGGAGGAATTAAGGAAAGCTTTGAAAACCAGAAAAATTAAAAAAAAAAAAGGTTGGTATGGTCAAAATCAGCAGTGCGAAGAGTGAACATAGATCCATGTTCTATTTAGCACCGATCAAATAGCTGCTACACAGTTTTAGCACGTTGAAAATGGCTTCATAAGGGATTAGCTCAGTCCCAGGTAGGATACCTATTTTTTGCTTTCTTGTATTCACTCATGTTGGAATTTTATTGGCATCATGGTACACCTATGGTAAGCCTTCTTTCCTGAAGAAAGATCGATTGGTGGGATGAGAGGGGCCTGAGAGAATAAATAAATATAAACAGCGTATGCCTTTGGAGTTGAGGGGGAAGGAGAGTTTGCAGCTTGAAAACTTTTTTTCTTGCAGGGTCATCACCACAAGGTGTTTACAGCTTTGGTACTTTCTACACTGGGCAAAGTATTCAAGGAGGAAGGTGCAGGGCAGACAGGTGAACTGCTCTGTTGCTCTATTTGTTAGACCTGACATCACTTCAAGGGTGGTAGTTTGACATTGTATCCCTACCTGTAGTGGCTCTTAGGCCACAACGATTGAACATAAAGCTAACCAAACCTGCATTTAACATGGGTTGGCAACCCTCCGCTACTTTGCAAAGGAACCACTTATGTTAAATATTTGAAAAGGCTAGTCTGAGCATCTTTCAGTCTGGTTTAAACAGCCCACTGTGGCTGGCCACATTTGGCAGTACATTAATGTAAGCAGTTTTTTAGATGGTTCAAGAGTCAACATGGACATTATCATCTTCAGCATTTGCAAAGATATAGCTAATATGGGACATACAAAGCAGTCAGCTACAGTAACCATTAAATGTTAGAGGAAAATGTAGGGCCATTACTTTACAGGAAAGGAGAACAAATAAATACCACAGAAGGCTGATACATTGGAGGCCTTTTTGCTCATCTTAAAAAAAAAAAAAAAAAAAAGTTTTTT